ACAGTAGCAATAAATTCCTCACTGCCCAGGATGCTGTCTGAATCATGAAAAAGCAGAGGCGAGCTGAAGTTTGCTCTGAAAAACACGCAAAGAGCATTCTAGGAAAAGAGGCCAAAAGACCACACTGAGCCCAGAGCAGCTTCTGCCCCAGGCTGTGATCTGTTCCTCTAGAGGCTGCTCCCTGGGAGAGCATTATCTGTAAAACAAGATATGCTCTTGTTCTTTTTGTCTGCCGGAGATTTCCTCCCTGCAGCCTTCTAAAACCTGTCAGCACCTCTCCGCCCCCTCCCAAGCCTCAGCCCCGTTCAGACTGGATGGTAGACACCTGTCTCGAGTCTCCTGCGAGGCTGTAGGGGCTTGCAGATAGATTTCCACCCGTGTCCTACGGGCAATCTTGCCAGTGTTCTGGCTAGTTTTATGTCCGCTTCATACAAGCCAGGGTGTTGGTTTCATCTAAGTTGTTCTATTTGCCAATAAAGACTCAGGAGTCAGATGCTGGGGTGAAAACCTGCTAGATCACAGAAGCCAACGAGCAGCCAGCTGACCTTCCCTTTTGGCCAGAGACCCAGGAAGAGAGTTTCTCTCCACCCATCCCAAACCAAAATGACCAGGCATCTCTAAGGCCCTCCCTACTCCTTCCTGTGTGTCTCTCTAGCCACATCTATGGCTAATTCCTGTCAACCAGTCACTGGTCCAAGGCTGATTTTTATTCACACAGTCTTGGAGTTTCACAGTGCGATCAAATATCATACACCACTAGAGTCTTCTGAGAGAAGGGACCTCGGCTGAGAAAACACCTCCAGAAGATCTGTGTAGAGCGTTTTCTTAATTAGTGATCAATGGGGGAGGCCCAGCCCATAGTGAGTGGTGCCATCCCTGGGCTGGGGGGGGGGGTCCTGGGTTCTATAAGAAAGCAGACTGAGCAAGCCAGGGAGCAGCACCCCTCCATGGCCTCTGCAGCAGCTTCTGCCTCCAGGATCCTGCCGTTTGACTTCCTGTCCTCACAGCTTTTGATGAACTGTTATGTGGAGCTGTGAGCGAGATACACCCTTTCCTCCCCAAGATGCTTTTTTTGGTCATGGTGTTTCTTTATGAAAATAGAAACCCCAACTAAGACAACTAAGTCATGCTAGTGAGGTTTAAAGAACAGGGAGAAATTTTAGCTCCCTTCTAACTGGAAAGCATCTCGATCGGGCTAGAGATACCAATTATTTAATTAGGAAATTACAGGCTTAATGGTTTGGTCAGAAAGCTTAGAACCTCGACTCTGTCTAGCAAGTAAAGTTGAGCCAACCAGGTAACTTCAGTAGTTCAATATTCTCACCCATAAAATGAGCTAACAATGCCTACATTATCCATGTCCTAGAGTTCTGGAGACAAAAAATGCCGTGACCAAGGCCTTTATAACTTCTGTTCAAGGATAACAAAGTAGCGGTGCCATTTTGGACCACCACTCTCCTGGGCCCCTCCTGGAGGCAGTTGGGTATCACACTCCGCAGAGTGGCATCAGAGAAACTGGGTTCCTTCTTGGGGTTCTAAGTTCCACTAGTAAGATGATTTAAGAACAGACTCGGGGCTGGAGAGATGGCTCAGCGGTTAAGAGCATTGCCTGCTCTTCCAAAGGTCCTGAGTTCAATTTCCAGCAACTACATGGTGGCTCACAACCATCTGTAATGAGGTCTGGTGCCCTCTTCTGGCCTGCAGGCATACACACAGACAGAATATTGTATACACAATAAATAAATAAATAAATATTAAAAAAAAGAACAGACTCATAGGGGAGCTTAAGGGTTTGAAATAAAACTCCCAAGAGAAACACTGTAAACCCCGGCAGCTACCTGGAAGAGGACAGAGAAGAAGAGGAGCAGAAGCCATGGCATGTGAGTCAAGCTTCATGGAGATGAGCCACAATGTGGACCAGCGGCCACCCAGCAGAGAGAGGGGAGCGCTGGAGAAAGAGTAAGGAAGCTGGAAGCCCCAGGAAAGCACAAAGGCTCTGGTCAGCATCCTAAAGAAAGACAGAAGAGAAGACAAAGGAAAGGTTACGCCTTTCTGAGAGTCAGGACGGCGAAAAGTGGGCAGACCCAACAGAGCCTCACACCAGCTTCCAGCAGCATGGAGGGAAGGGACTCAGGACAAGTGGTGGCTCATGGAAGGGATGGCTAGTCTCTTACCCCTTTAGCATCGTGTAGGGTGGGCCTGCCTTTTGAGGGTTGGACACCTGGACAAGGAATTGATCTGCCCAACTGGATTAACCATTGTTTGTTTGAGATAGAGTCTCACAGTGTAGCTCAGGTTTGTCTGGAAGTGGCTACGTAGACCAGGCTGGATGGGAACTCAAGTAACCCTACTGCCTCTGCCTCCTGAGTGCTGGGATTAAAGGCCTTTGACACCAGGTCTGACTTTAGGTTAACTCTTTTCTTCTTGAGACTTAATTCATGTGTCTGAGTGTTGTATATATGCCCACAGAAGTCCAAAGTGGGCATTAGATCCTCTGAACTTGGATTTACAGGCAGTCATGAGCTGCCTGACGTGGGTACAGGGACCCCATTCCTCTACAAGAAATACTTTTGTTTGCTTTTTTGAGACAGGGTTCCTGCCCTGGAACTCATTCTTAGACCAGGCTGGCCTCAAACTCACAAAATACACCTGCCTCTGCCTCCTGAGTGCTGGGATTAAAGGCCTGTGCCAGTACCGCTTGTTAACAGCAAGTGTTCTTAATCATCTCTCCAGTAAACTGGAATAACCAAGGCAGGAAGCAATGGCATGTCTCCACCTAAAGGCAGATTTTATCCTTTCCTGTAACAATCGGAAAATACTCAGTACATTTTGTTTATTGAGGCAGGGGCTCATGTAGGCCAGGCAAGCCTCAAACACTAGCGTCCAAGATGACCTTGAACTTTTGATTCTCCTGCCTTCACCTCCCCAGTGCTGGGATCACAGGCTTGAGCTGACACTTGTATTTGTATACAGTGTTAGAGATGGAACTTGAGGCTTCATGAATAAATACTAGGCAAGAACTCTACCAATGAGCTACATCCTCAGGCCCCTCCATGCCATTTAAGAGGTTTATATGCATACACATTCCAATGGCCATAGGATCAATATGGTTCTCAGAGGTGATGTTGGATTCAACACCAAGGGTTATTTATCTAATAGTGATTTTGCTTTGTCTTAAACATTGAAAATACCTCCCGGCATTCTTTCTGATCTTTTTAGCAGACTGATGGAATGAACTTACATCATAACAAGGCACAGCCAGACTGGAGGTCAGTGAACCAAGGCCAGCCACGCCCCCATTAGCCCAGCCAAGTGGTTGCATCTCCTCTGGATGCTAGCTATGGCTCCCTAGCTGCCCCTGGGTCTTCCTTGTCACTCAATTCTATGCACAGCTACAGTGAGTTTTCATTTAGGTCATCCAAACTAAAGCCATGGATTCCCTATCATTGATGACATCCTTGAGTTGACACCATCATGTTCTTGTTACTGCATGCCGTGACTTGGGAGTTGTTTCCTGAACGGACAGTCTCATCCTGGGCTTTGCACAGGGACCCCATCGAGCAGACTTCCACTTGGCCATAGCTCCTAGGGACCATTTCTGACCACACTCTGCCATGCAGTGTTCTTCACTACCGCGCAGTATTTATGAGCTGTTATTCATCATGCCTCTGCCTGGAACCCGAGCCTTGTCTCTCCTGTCTTGGCCTTTGGTGAGCAACACAAGAGCTTGCTGGGTAACAGGTACTGACTGGATAAATGGCTTGGTGTCTACTTCTGCCTTGCTCTACCTACATGACAATTCACTTAGTTTTGTGACACTTCCTAGTGACTTTGAGATTCTAAATGTTAACAGGAGCCTCGCAGGAATGCTCGGGATTCCTCGTGGTTCTGGAGGGGAGCGCAGCTTTTCTCAGCTTCTGTCAGGGAGTAGAAGTAACCAGTAATTTCCGCTTTGGCTTATATCAGTGAGTAGTAGTAACTTCAGTAATTCCTACTTTGGCTTATCCGTCCGTGCTCCTGAGCTGAATGAACATTGTCTCATTTTAAGGATGAGGGAAGAGCTCAGATGTAAAAGGACAGCAGGAGAAAGCAGGCCAGGGTGCTGCACCGAGTTACAAGACACAGGCAGCAAGAGGTGTGCATGCTGATTTTGAACAACGTTTAGGAGAAATAGGTGTCACTGTCACCAAACTTCCTCTTCTAAGTACTTTTCGCCTGCCTCTGTCTCCTTCCCTAAGTCTACAGAAGCACATCTATAATTGCTTGTAATGTTCATCTTTAACTTTTTTCACCGAGGTTTGAACACAGGGCCTTGCATACGCTGAGCACGGGACTCCCACCAAGCCACACCCCAGTCTGCATATTTTTGTCTTTTGTTTTCTCCCTGGGACAAATCCTCTTGAAAAATTTCAAACAATTGTCTTGCTGCAAGATGGTTTTAAATGTCAACAATGACCACTGAGTTCCGAATTCAGTGAAATGGAAATGTGTCAGCACTTTTGGCTTTCTGTAGACCTGTGAGCTCTGGAGTTAGCGACTCTCACCAACTGTGACCAAAGAGTTGGTCACTTAGCCCTCACCCCTAACCCCAACTTACAAAAGAGGGCAAGTGGCTGGGGGTGTGGCTCTGGGGTACAGTATGCTCCGGGCCCTGGGTTCAACACCCAGCAACCAGTGCAGTCAGTAACAGCCTGTCTCACCAAACTGGGGCGAGGCGCTCTGAGAACAGCGGAGGTGCATGCTGCACACAGGAAGTACTTCTCAGAACGATACATGCGCTGACATCACAGCAATGGAAACTCTGCTCTGAAAGACACCACTCTATGTCTAGCATTTAGCAGACGTCCCCCTAGAAGAAGCAAAGTCCTTGAAGATGCTAACGTGATTGTCCCGGGGATGTGGAAATCACAGTCTGCACCTCACAAGGTGGGAGGCCTGAAGGAAGGGCTACCCCCAACTGTCACTCATTTGTCTTATACTCCATTTGAGTCAGCATAATCTTTATTTCAAAATAACATTTTTATTATATAAAAATGTAAAAAATCCAGCAAACCAGAACTATGGATATATTTTCCTGGGCTTTCACATTGTTGATTTTTATTCGCATGGCATTTTCAACACAATTTACAGCATTGTCCCCATTTCCAGTCTGATTATACAAGCGCTAAATGACAGAAGAGTCTGAAATAAATACATTACAAAAGAGGCAAAGCTGTGAACTAAGTGGCATGCAGACGGTCCTACAGGTGGGGGAAGGAGCTGAAAAGGAAGTGAGTCGGGTCACGTGACAGGAGCTCCCGCTGGAGTTCTTCAGTCGTCTTTGTCTTTTGCTCCGTGCTTGAGGATGCGCGTGAACTCGATGTAGTTGAAATTGCCCTTCTTGTCAATGGGGGCCTCCCTGTAGAGCTCATCCACCTCCTCATCTGTGAAGCGGTCACCCATGGTGGTCAGCAGCTCCCTCAGGTAGTCCTCCTGGATGGTGCCTGGAGGGCAGCAAGGGACGGACTCACAGATACCCAAGTACATGACAGATACCCAAGTACAGTGTCATGATTCCGCAAACTCATCATCTATCACACACTCAGCCACAACACACGTAACTGCACCACTGCTTCCCAACCCAATCGCTTTGGAGTCTTCATTAATACTAAATTATGTTAAAAGCTTCAAAGCAGAGAGATGGCTCTGTGGTTAAGAGCACAGGCCGCTTTCAGAGAACCTGGGATGATTTCCAGCATCCACATAGCAGTTCAGAATCTAACCTGTAACTGCAGTTTCAAGGGATCTTATGCCCTCTTCTGGCACCAGGCATGCACGCACACACACACACACACACAATATTTATACACAAAAAAGAAAAATAAATCATTTTAAAAACCACAGTATAGAAATAAAAAGTCAAACAATAATAAGAGGTGGATCCCAGAACAAAGACAATGTCACCCAGACCAATGGCTCAGGGAGAAAAGTCAGGAAGGAGCGAGGGAGATTCCAGGAGATGTGAGGGCAAGCAGAGGAAAGGGAGGAGGCTGAAGGAAGAAGGGAGAAACACGGGACTGAAAGGCTTTCATGTCAAAGCGTGCTTCTCCAAAGGGCAGGAAAATGAAGACAAACAGAGAAACCCTGAGTAACTGCAGAGACACACAGCACTTCAAATGCTCACACTAGGAACTATGCCGTCTAGAGAAACCAGGGTCTCTGAACAGTTTTCATCTCTAAGGCGACATAATGGACCCTAAATTCTTACAGCTGTTCTAGGAAGTTCAAAGTCAAATTCAGAGGTGAACAAGGTAAGCTGTAGTTTCATGGCCCACAACAGGTATGTGACAAGGCCATTTCTGGTATATTCCTAGTTTAAAACAACAGGATTTTCTTTTTAATTAAAAAAATTACACATTAAAAACATGTCCTAAAATGTGCTCCATAGACCCTAAAATGAGGCTGGCCACAAACATGCAAGCAGCACTTACCTGTGGCTTCCTCATCAAAGCAGGCGAAGGCGTTTCTGATGACATCCTCGGGATCTGTACCATTCAACTTCTCTCCAAACATGGTGAGGAACATGGTGAAATTGATGGGGCCCGGGGCCTCATTCATCATGGCATCCAGGTAGGCGTCGGTGGGATTCTTGCCTGTAAGAGGACACGTAAACCCACGTCATGTGGCTCGCCTGGCTGCTCCTATGCTGCCAACCATACTGTTAAGAGGGTCAATAGCATTACTCTGTGTTCGCGCCCCATGTCCCATGTGTGGAGGCCTGAGGACAACTTTCAGGAGTTGGTTCTCTCTTTCCACAACGGTTCCAGGGACCAAACCCTACAGGCTTTGGACATAAGCACCTTACCTTTCCGTGCTGAGCCATCTTGCCAGCTTCTTCATCACTTTTTCATTAAAAAACAAAACCCCAAAAGTCTCAAGTTTTGACAGGGAACACCACACTATCACATGTTGTTGATTCTACACTGGTTCATCAGGGGTTGTTATTTTAATACCAGTTATTTAAAATAAAAAAAAAAAAAAAAAAACAACGTATAAGCAACCATGCCAGACTTGAACTGGGGTGCTCACCGTCTTGTTTGTAAAGAGAATCCTGATCTCAGTTCCTACTGAGAACAGCTCTCGGGACAGTGGCCAGAGACCTGACAGGGAGGGAAGCAGCTGTAGAGCTCCCCACAGGAAAGGTCTTGAAACCAGTTCTCCAATTGGCTATGAGGTCTGGAGAAGGTGGAAGAACGGGAACTCAAACCCAGCTCTCCAGACATCGAGGTTAGTGCCAGCCGGCCCACACAACCTCCTTTAGTCTTCACCTGTGAAAACGGCGGCTAACGCCAGTATCTTGAAGGTCCCTCAGACAGCAAGCTGACACACGTGAAAAGAACCATGTTGGTTGGGTCTTCAGATCTAGCATCTCAGAACTATACCAAACTAGAAGCTGATGGCGGTCCAGTCTAGAACTTGGGGGGACATCTAAGAAACCCATGGACAGCTATTTCACTGCATGGCAAATCCACCTCACTACACCCACTTAGCTCATCTGCACAACAGGAGCCACTGAGCAAGTGAGTTCGAGGCCAGCCTGATCTACAGAGAGAGTTCCAGGACAGGCTGCAAAAGCTACAGAGAAACCCAGTCTCGAAAAACAGAAAAATCAAAAAACAACAACAACACAAAAACAACCCCACTTCCCTGTTTGGAGAGCAACTGTCAGGCAGCCTTCCAGGAGTGGAGGGCAGGGGTGACTGCAACCCAGAGGTTCAAGAGAGTTCTCAGAGCGAAGTAGGAATTGAAAATGGATCTTTTTAAAAATGTGTGTGTAGCCAGGTGTGGTAGCATACACCTTTAATCCTAGCACTAGGGAAGCAAAGGAGGTCCGGTCTACAAAGCAAGTTCCAGGACAACCACACAGAGAAACCTGTCTCAAAAAACCAAAACAAACAAAAAACAAAACAAAAACAAACCAAAAAAAGGGCACGCGCACGTGGTGAGTGTGTTTGTGTCTGTTGATGGTACATATAAAATGTGTGTGTACCAGCGCTGTGGAGCACACGTGGAGGACAGAGGACAATGTCCAAGATCCAGGGCTCTCCATCCTGGGGTTCACACAGAAGGCACCAGGCTCAGCAGCATGCACCTTTAACCTCTATGTTTTTTTGGAAAAAAAATAAAAAAATTCACTTTCTTTCTTTCTTTAGAAAAAAAAATTCAATTTCAATTCCTTCCTTCCTTCCTTCCTTCCTTCCTTCCTTCCTTCCTTCCTTCCTTCCCTCTCTTTTTAAATTATAAAAAACATTACTGTGGAAGTCTCTTTCCCAGGGGTCCACTGTTGGTTATGAAGTGCTTCCTCTTTGTCCATTTGCTCATGGCCTGTCCTCCACCCACAGAAGATTATTGGCTGCATTTGTTAATGTGCCTTCTGGTCTACTGCACACAGCCACCAGCATGCGTGCGCACACGCGCGCGCACACGCACGCACATACGCACGCACATACGCACGCACACACCACACCCCCCCCCTTCGGGCTCACACAGACACAATCCACTTAGCTAACAGGAACAGTATCTGCCAGGTTTCCCCCTCTAGAGCTGATTTCCCCCTCGCTGGGCCCAGCCCTGAAAAGGCCCTCCCACACCTGAAAGCTTTTCAAAGGCCAAATGGCCGAGAATTGAGCCACAAGACGAATGAGCCAGAGAGGGATCCCCGCCAGGGAGAGGCACAAAGGCTACCTAGAGAAGCCAGCATGTCATGCAGGTCCTCCTTGTCGATGAAGCCGTCCCGGTTCTGGTCGATCATGTTGAAGGCCTCTTTGAACTCTTGGATCTGGGACTGGTCAAACATGGCGAACACATTGGATGTTGCGCGCTGAGGGCGCTTCTTGGTGGTCTTGGTCTTGGCCTTTTTGCTCGACATGGTGGTGGTTTAAATCTGGAATTAAATGAAAAAAAAATGCTTAATACATAAAGCAAAAAGGGGCATACACACAGACAGACACGCACACACCTAAAGTTAGTGAATACAAGTATCTTTTTCTTTCTCTCTGAAAACAGAGTCGTGTCGTGTGTGTCACGTCCCCCACGTGAATTCAGGGACCAGACTTGGGTCTTCTGCAGCCATTTCTCTCACCCCAAGTTTTTGTTTGTTGTTTTCCAAAACAGGGTTTCACGATGTAGCGCTGGCTGTCCTATATAGACCAGGCTGGACTCCAACCTGGAGCTCTACCTGCCTCCCAAGTGCTGGGATTAAAGGTGCCACCCAGCTCCCAAGACTAGTTCTATTCTTATCTATTGGGATTTATAGAACTATGTAACAGGGACTGGAGAGATGGTCAGAAGTTGAGAGCACTGCCTGCTCTTCCAGAGGACCTGGGTTCAATTCCCACCACCCACATGCTAGTTCACAGCTGTTGGTAGTTCCAGCTCCAGGGGATCCAACACCCTCACACAGACGTGCAAAACACCAATGCATATAAAATAAAAATACATAAATCATTAAAAGGGTTCCCTCACACAAACCTCTTACCCTTTCGAGGTTCATTTATCCCTCACAACAACCAAACATGACCGGTACTTTTATTCTTTCCACTTTACTACCACTGAAATAATCTTTCAGAAACCCAATTTTTCATCATCAAAATATAGTATCTATTATAGTGTATAGTATGAACTAAGTAGATACTGTACAAGGATAGAGAGATACGAGTGCTCACCTTTAAACCCAATTTCCTCTTGTAGGCTTCCAAGCTACCCCTGCATTTCCCTCATTTGACAATTGTAAAGATCAGTTAAGATCAACTGCTCCCACATTGATGGCGTTGGTGTTACCTTCCAACACTACTGACAGCCAGCAGCAACTTAACTGTTAAACAGAATGATAATTTCCATTTTTTTAAAAATAGGGTCTCATGTAGTCCAGGCTGGTACTGAACTCAACATGTAGCTGAGGATGACCTTAAACCCTAGATCCTCCTACCTCTGTCTCTCGAGTGCTGGGATTATACGCATGGCTCATGCCCTGGCTGCATTTTATTTTTTTTAAATATTTATTTATTTATTATGTATACAATATTCTGTCTGTGTGTATCTCCAGGGCATCAGAACTCACTACAGATGGTTGTGAGCCACCATGTGGTTGCTGGGAATTGAACTCAGGACCTTTGGAAGGGCAGGCTATGCTCTTAACCACTGAGCCATCCCTCCAGCCCCCCCCCCCCCAGCTGCATTTTAAACAGTGTAAATATCTGCACAATGGTGTTCTGGTCAATGTGACAGACAGGATATACAATGGTATAGACCCATAGTCTAGGTCTGCAGCAAGCTATTCTATCTGGCCTTGTATAAGCAAACTCTACAGTGTTTGCAGAGCAACGAGACGGCCTAACAAAGGGATTCTCAGAATGTATCCCCATTACTAGACAGCATGCAAAGTTCAAATCTAAGCCACGAACGAAGAGTTATACATAACTTTAAGTCTCACAAATATCAGGGCAGTTTTTAGAAACTATTTTTGAGCTTTTATTATTTTTATACATACAGTCTGCCTTCATGTAAAGTCTGTGCACATGTGTGCAGCACCCATGGAGACCAGAAGAGGATGCTGGGTCCTCTGAGAAAGTTACAGACCAATGTCCATCTCCATATACTCCTGGGAATTGAACCCAGGTCCTCTAGAAGAATCAGCCAGTGATGTTAACCACTAAGCCATCTTTCCGGCCCCTTAGGGCAACTTTAAAAAAATATTTTATTATTTTTTAAAAATTCTGTGCCAGGGTGTTCTGCCTGATGCAGTTGGTGTGGCACATATGGGCAGTCCTCTGGGACTGGAGTTACGCAGGGTTGTGAGCTGCCATGTGGGTGCTCGCAATCCAGTTCAGGTTATCTGGAAGAGCAGTCAGGGCTTCTTAGCTGGAGAAGTGAGTCATTTCTCCAGCTCCAATTATGATAATGATGGTGACGATGATGTACATCTAAAAGTGCAGGTGAGTGTGTGGAAGTGAGAGGCTATTTGGAAATGCTTTCTCTCCTTCCACCGTGGGATCAGCATCAAACTCAGTTGTCAGGCTTGCATGGCAGGCACTGTTACCCCCTGAGCTATCTCACCCGCCCATGGCAACTCTTTGATCTAATGTTTTATTGCATCTCTACAACTGCCCTATGAGATAGGCACTCCCTGTGTATTAAATAATTCAAGGCTGTTCCGAGGGAGGTGCATATAACCTTGTCCTTGGCTCCTGCGACGTCCTGTCTGATATTTACTATCATAGGTCACACCAGATGATCTAACTATGAGTTACGATGGGAGGCTTTTGGTCGTAAGTTATCAGCTTGACTTCTAACAGGGCTGCGCACCGAGGTCGGACATGTGGAGAGCTAGGTATACCTATGCAATAAAGCCCTCATTCCCTGGCTGGCAGTACTCTGCACACTGTGACACATCACTGCTAGGAGCTGACACGGTCCATGACTTCACTGGGACAGACAACTGAAGCTGTGTTCAGGGAGAACCACAGCCATCATCAGTGAGTTGGAATCCCAGCCCCAGGGACACCTAAAGGTACAGCTGGTGTGAGAAGTGAGGACAGCATGGGGAGTTCCCCTTCGGCAGCGCCACTGCTTCAGAGGGACTGACAATTAGCTGTCTCAGTTAGGGCTCTTACTGTGATAAACACCACGGACAAAAGCAACTTAGGGAAGAAAGGGAAGTCAGGGCAGGAACTCCAGCCCAGACCATGGAGGGGTGCTGCTTAGTGGCTTCCTCCTCCTAACCGCTCAGTCCGCTTTCTTATACAACCCAGGACCACCCACAGGGAGCTGGGCCTCCCAACACTTCACAGACTGGACTACTGTCCACACTGGGTCCTGGTTTGTGTCAAGCTGATAGAAACCAAGCCGCACTCCAGCCGTGTCAGCTGTCTACAAAGGAACTCGGGCTTTGGGCTTTCTCTTCAGACGGTGTTTCTCTGCCATCAACCTGAAACATGCGCCCAGTGTACCGATGTTTGGGTTAGCACAGCTCTGAAGTACTCCAGCTTCATGGTGCTGACTCTCAACATCATCTTCTCCTCCCCGTAACTTAGTTTGATACCTGACTGCAGTTATATGGAAAGTTACACAGAGAACAGACAGACAGAACGTGGTCACTACTGGTCACTCCCCTCCTTTTGTTTTCTTTATTTTTTCTGGCTGCTGCTGCAGCGGCCTTGTCTTAGTTAGGATTACAATTTTGATGACAAAACATCAGGACCAAAAGCAAGTTGGGGAGGAAAGGTTTTATTTGGCTTACACAGCATACTGAGGGCCCTAAAGGTGGGCACTCACACAGAGCAGGAGCTCAGGCAGAGACCATTGAGGGGGGCTGCCCACTGGCTTGCTCGGCCTGCTTTCTTACAGAACCCAGGACGACTTTCTGATAGAAGCCCAGGGATGAATGTGGAATATTAGATCACACCGTGACACTCAGATTGTTAATAAAATTACCTTGAATCCGGGGCAGAGCCAGCAACCACCTGACAGAAAGCAGCCATAGAGAAGCCAGGAATTCAATAGAGAAGACCAAAGCAAAGGAAAGGGAGGGACTAAGAGTTTGGCGCTTTTTTTGGTTTTGGGATGAGTGAAGAGGCTTGTCTTGTGGTGTCTCTGGCCAAGGTCAGCTGGTTGCTTCTCAGCTTCTGTGACTTAGCAGATTTTCACTCCCCACATCTGACTTCCAAGTCTTCATTGGTAAATAGAACAACAGACTTAGCTTAAACCTACACAGCCTAACCGGTTCTGCTGTGGCAGTGGGACCAGAAGGCCTTCTAGGCTGCAGCCTGAGTGGTGGGTGGGGCATTGACTGGGGGGCAGTGGGGCCCGGAGACGATAATTAAAATATCAATAGTATTATATTCAGTCACTAAGACAACAGGAAAACTACAAGGAATGGCGCCACCCCGAGTGGAATGGGCCCTCCCCACCAACCACTAAGAAAATGCTGCAGAATGCCTACATCTGATCTTGTGGAGGCTCCCTCTCTCAGATGAAACTAAAATTAGGCAGCACAGGTATAAGCCCAGGTTCTCATGCATATTATGAGCCTCAGTTCAGACTCCACCCCTGAGAAAGCCCCTCAATAATAACCCCTCCCCAGAGAAGCTCAAGACCACTACAGCAGGGTGCTTAAACTGCCCCCTGGAGAACAAACGTGGTTTCCTGGTTTCCGGTCAAACCTGGGCTTTTTCTAATTTGGTCCGATTTTGTCTAATTTGGATTACTGACTGTAATCTCGGAGAAGCTTATCAGGGTGCAGAAACTTCAAAAAGTATTAAATCTTATTTCAAGATTTCGTAAATATTAGTAGTCTGAAGGCATAGATAAGTTCCACCAGCTGATCATTTATGCAAACTCACTAACGAGTAACATTTAAAAAAATAATCTGTCAACTCTATCATGCTGAAAGTTAACCCAGAATATCCTACGCTAAACATTTTTGAGGCTTAATTAGAGTTCTTCAAGAAGGTAGAACTAAACGCAAGGATTAGCTTAAGGAGCTTGATTAGTGGAAAAGAGTTGCTGGGGGCAGCACCAGTCTCAGCTGGGCCGGCAGTCAGTCTGACCCCCAAATGAAGGGGAGAGGCAGGGGCAGGGGGAGGGATAGGAGAGGAGGCTGATGGGTGAGGATGCGATTACTAACAGGCTAATTACTAATCAGAATGTGCTACAGAGTAAGCAGGGGACTGAGGAAGCATCTGAGTTCTTCACAAGTTTGGTTTTTGCCACAACTCATGTTTTAGGTATGTACTGTCTTTTTCCTAAGCACTCCTTCCTTAATGCTTGTGTTTAAATCTCTATTGAAAGTGTCTGTGCACACGCGCGGATGTGTGTGGAAGTCGGAGGCCAATGGTGGGTGTCACTATGTGTGGAGAGCTCACTGACTAGCCAAGGAGCTCCAGGGATCCCTGCTACCGTGCCTCCCCAGCACTGGGATCTTAGGTGCACTTATGTGTCCGCCATTTATGTGGGGTCTGGACCATGACCAAGCACTTTACTGAGTCATTCCCAGACCTAAAACTGTTTGTTAAGAAACCCAACTTTGAGCCCAGCATGGTGAGATCCTGTCTCAAACCACCACTAGCAACCCAACTTTGTTTACATACATACTCTCTCTCTCTCACACACCCCACATTCTTTAGAGTTTTACTATGTTTATAGCCCTGGCTGGCCTTGAATTTATGATTCTCTTGCCTCTGTCTCCTAAGTGCTGGGAGTTTTAGGTATTTTAGGGCTGGGGACATAATTCAGTGAGAGTAATTGTCTAGCTGTTCAAGGTACTGGGTTCAATCCCCTGAAGCACAAAAATAAAATATACTTCATATAACTATATGGCACCTATAAAAACTAAACATACACATCAGTTGAAAAGTGAGCAAAGGTATCAAGACCGGCAGTCTGAAGAAAACAGCCCTTCCTTCCTCTTGCTTTCTGAGACAAGCACCTCTGCTTCCTCACCGCCCACTCGCTCTCCAGCCCACAGAAAGCTGGCCATCCATCTCCGCCACAGCGGCCACGTCAAGGCGACAAACTCGGGAAGGCTTCCAGGCCCTTTTCCTGTACTTCCACTGTTCAAGCTTCCTTCCGGGACTGGCCCTCTGCATTTTCTTCTTCTTTCATCCTCACTCACTTGGCATCCAGGTTTCTCATGCCCTGCCGTTTCTGACAAGGGTTCACCATGCATCCAAGGCTGATAGGGTTTCTCCTTCTGCCTCCCCAGTGCTGGAATTACGGCATGTACCACCACACCTGGCTCTTATGAAGAATATTTTTATAACCTGCAAGCCAGTTTCTGCCTCTCAGTTGCATCAAAATTCCCCTCCATGGCTTAAAGCTCTTTCCTTGAATGATCTCATCGACTCTCACTGTTCTGGCTCCAAGGCCTCCACCTCCAGGCTTGTGCTCCACCTTTGTGCTTTAGATTCACATCCGACTGCCGAGGAATCACGCCCATTCGGCCATTCCACAGACACCGCAAAACCAACAAGCTGAAAACTGAATCCATTGTCCTCCCTCTCAACTTTCCCAGCCCACTCACCCTGCCTGGAAGCCAAGTCGTCCTCCACAAACCCCTCCCGCCTCTCAGATAGTTCTCAGGTGTGCACATCCTCCTCATTCACGTAGACTTGTCCCAGCTGTCCTGCCTCTCCAGTGCGGGCATCAAAAGCATGCACTACCATCGACTTTTTTAAAAACATTTTTTAAATTTGTGTGTGCCAACATATGCACGGGTGTCAGCTGACAATGTTTGAAAGCCGGTTTCCTCTCACCACATGGGCTTGGCTTCTGAGATCAAACACAGGCTGCCAGGCTTGGCAGAAACAGCCGTCACGCACTGAGACAATTCTTCAGCTCCATGTATACATATTTTACACACATGCTTACTTTTTTTCCAGGAGAAGAGGAGTCGCCCTGAACTGAACGAAACTGCCTGCCTTCCCAATGATGTAACTGAAGACCGGACATTAAATGATCCCAGGTCAGCTGTGCTCACAACCCACTGGAGACAAACGTGGGCTTCTGAGCAGCGATTCTCCTCTACATTCGCTCACAGAAGAGCAGAACTGGAGTAGAGAAACTACATGGGCAGCAGGACTGCACGGTGAGCGACCAGCAGATGAAGGGAAACCCCGGGGTATGTGATGTGGTGCAGCAGCTCAGACTGGGGTAATAAGTGCCAATATCTTTGTTTTGTTTTGTTTTTGTTTTTTTCGAGACAGGATTTCTCTGTAGCTTTGAACTAGCTCTTGTATGGCCTCGAACTCACAGAGAGATCCACCTACCTCTGCTGGGATTAATGGCTTGTGCCACCACCACCACCCGGCCAGCAGTAACTTCTATTAGCCACGATTGAACAGAGAAACCTTTATGCTCAAAGTGGTGTTTGTGTGTGTGTGTGTGTGTTGTGTGTGCACGTGGGGGGGGGGCCCACCTAACCCAACACTCTACCTCTAGACTACAGTTACAGATGAGACTATTCACAGAAAACATTGCCCAGAATGTAAATTACCACCTTTAATAAAAACAAGACCCATTTTCTCTTCAAACATTTTACTATTTCTCTACATTCCTAATGTAGTGAACTAAGTGGTGTTTGTGCTCTCGGGTCACACCACAGGCTGGGGTGCAGGAAGCCGGTGTCACAAGTGATGCAAATGTCTGATATCCAAGTCAGAGCAAGGGAACGTATCATTAACCAGCGGAACTCTGTGAGTTTCATTCTGCCTGTAAGGCTTCCCCAGGCTTGGAAAGATGCTCAGAGCACATGCTGCCTATGGCTTCCAAGCTCCCTTTGATGCTTTCCCAAGTCTTTGTTATCACCATATGGCCAATAAACACGGCTCTCCCAGAAGCTGGTCATGTATCAGTCATCTATGAAGTTTATAAAAAACGATGCCTGGGTCTTCGTCAAGCCTACCAGTAGGGGAATGTTGGTGTGGAGGCCAAGAATTTAAATGTACCAAGTAGGAGTTGGAGAGCTGGTTCACTGGCTGGAGTACCTGCAGAGGACCAGGATTTGATTCCTAGCATTTACGTGGAGGCTCAAAACTATCTGTGACTCTAGTCCCTGGGGATCTGACACCCTCTTCTGACCTCCAGAGGTATCAGGCATGCACACGGTGCACAGATATACATGCAGGCAAACACTCATAATCATGAGATAATAAAATAAATAAAAATTTAAAAAATGCACTAGGTGTTTCCAATGTTCAGCTAAGGCTGAAACCACTCAGCCCACTCTGGCCGTATAAATGTCCAGTTTTCCCTGGCTTTTCAAAGTTGATGGTCATTATGGGAAAATGGAGATGCAGAGGCCTAGATTCTAACTCCAGTTCTGACATGAGCAGCTGTTTGACCTTTGGCTAGTCTAGCCATCCCAGATCCCATTTTCCTCATCCATCTAAGAGGTGACTCATGAGCTACCTTGGAAGATGGCTCAGTTGGTGCTTAGCCTTTGAGCATGAGGACCTGAGTTTGAGCCTATCTGAATCTGGTGATGCATGTGGGCCAGGGGTCGATGATGTCTTAAAATGAAGGTGAACACACCTGAGAAATGACACCAGAGATTGTCCTCTGGTCTGCACATGCATGCGCACACATATACACATATCCAATAACTGGCTCGTAGCCAATAACTGGCAGCCAGCAAATTACATGCAGTGTGTAGGAAGGTTTGGTTAGTACCCTCCAAGATGGCCTTTAAAATGTCTCTTCAAAAATTAGCTTTACTTAGAAACCGAATTTCAAACATCTTGAACAACTGCAGAATGAAGAACTAGACTAGACCCCGTCCCTACACCCTAACCCCACCCCCATGTTCATGCTACCTGCATGGATCCCAATGGCACCGAACTTCCTTCCCTCCCTTGCCAAGGGGGTAGTTAGGCTCAACAGCTGTCACCGTGAAGTGACCAATGTAAACACAGAGCGTTAGGAAATGACGGTGGATGACTGCCTCGAGAGACACTGCACCCCCTGCTGGCTCTGTTGAGTCAGAATGTAGATGCTTGCACCAGGAAGTGGGGAGCTAGGCCTCCTACCAACAGCCAGAAGCAACTGGCCAGTCGCTGAGTCAACCTACTAAAGAAGACAATCCTCCTTCAGATAAGGACAATCTCACAAGACTAAAGTGTTTGGAGATTTTTGGCTTTTAACACCCCTCTAATCCCAATATTCTGGACAGAGGCAGGCAGATATCTTTAAATTCAAGGTCAACCTGGTCTACAAAGTTAAGTTCCAGGACAGTCAGGGCTATAAAGACCCTGTCTAAAAAATAAAAATAAAAAATAAAAAAATCCAAAAACCCAAAAAGAACAACAAACAATCAAACAAACAAAAACCCCCAGGTATTGCCTTACAAAACAAAATTGAGGGCAATTTGTTATATATCAACAGAAAAGCAGTAATGCCACTGTTACGTGATTTCTTTAATAGTGAGGCGAGGAAACATCTTCATTTTGAGATTAGAGCCACAGAATTCTAGAAGGTTCAAATGGATCCGTCAGGTGACTAGGGAATTTTCTTTCTGGTTAAGAAAATGCGACTGTGACAGAATTCCCCCAGTTCGGTAGGTTCTCTCAAACACAAGGCTCTTTTCCCTGCCCCACCACCCTATTCCTGTGCCTCTACTGCTTTGCAGGTTTTTCTTGCTTTCTAATTGCAGCTTTCTTCAAAGTTCCATCCTTAAATGTGCGTACAGGCTGGCTGAGAAGCGTGTATCACAGAGGCTCCACTCAAGCTGGGCGTGGGGCTTCACGTCTTTCCTCCCAGCACTCTCCAGGCCAAGGCAAGAGGACTGCCACAAGTTCGAGGCTAGCCCAAGCTACACAATGAGCCCCAAGCCAGCCTGGTTACAGAATGAGGTTCTGTCTAAAAAAACCGAACCAAACAACAGAAACCATAAAATTGAAAAATAAAAGTTATCACTCAGTGTGAGTCAATTAGGGAGGAAAGGGTGGAAACTGGCTTCGTGGGCAAAGGGATCATAAAGGGTTCAAATTTTAGGGGCTGGAATCAAGAGTGCAAACTGCTCGGAGAAGACCACAACCACCTGTAACCCCAGCTCCAGGGGATCCACTGCCTCTGGCCTCTGGGATCAGTACTCAGTCTTTTACATGCAGACACCCCACACACATAACTAAACATAAACCTTCACAGAAGACTTCTCGTTCTAGCCCAACTACACTAGGATGGCAGCTGCCCAAGGTGGGGGTTGTGAGTCTTGTTGGCAAGGACAGTGTAGGCAGAGTCGCAGCAGGAGAAACCGAGCGTAAAAGCAGAGTGGCTCCAGGGTTTAACACTCTGATCTTTTCACATTCAGTTTCATCTTTTCCAAGGTCGGTCGGAATCTAGAAATTTCATAGGGCTTCCCTTGATGAGCTACTGTTTGTTCTGAGGATCACATGACTAGACACAAACAGTTTGAAAGCAGCAATCAGAAAGAGAATTCAGTATGCAGTCAAATTAAGATGCTTTACAAAATTAACTTAATGTACCTAATGATACATAATTGTTTTTATGGCTACATACGTAGGTTTTTAAGTTCCATAATTATCTTTCTTTTAAAGAGTCAAACAGAGCTTTTACATCTAACACCAGGCGCACTTGCCCCATACACCACAGCGCCCTCTCCTCTTCCTTACAGGTGTTCTGGGTGTCCCGGCAGTTCCCTATTCTCTGACATCTCTATCACTTCTAAAGTGCGCAAATCTGACCTTTTGTAACTGTGTACTCCCATGTAACAACCCAAGTCAGTTACAAATGTTAAACATCACTCCAGAAAGTTTCCCCGAAGTCACTACCCAGGCAAATCTTGTTTGGATTTCTTTCCTGAGACAAGTTTTAACTACACTGCCCAAGCTGACTGAAGCTCAGGACCTCCTGCCTCAGCTTCCAGGGGCCACGATAGAGGTTATCAGAGACCATCTGAACTTGATCTACTCTTGTTTGAGTGTCTTTTAAACCAAAAAGCAAATGTATATACTTGTGTAGGCCTGGTTTCTTTCTTTTGTTCCTTTTTTTATTTTATATTTATTCACTTTTTAAAATTTTATGTGCATTGGTGTTTTGCCTGCATGAATGTCTGTTAGGATGCCAGATTCCTTGGAACTGGAATTACAGACAGTTGTGAGTTGCCACAGTTGTGGGTGCTGGGAATTGAACCCCGGGTCCCGGAAGAGCAGCTAGTGCTCTTAACTGCTGAGCCATCTCCCCAGGCCAGCCTGGAGTCTTTTAATGTAATATTTTTGAGACTGAACCACTGTGTTGAGTTTATGAATGGCCTTCCTCCTCCTCTTTTAAAAACCATTTTTGAGTGTGTGGGATCAAACCAGGACCTCCAACATATCAGGCAAGTGCTACACGCTCAGTCCTTTATTCTTTTCTACTCACTAGTAGAATTACACTGAAAATTACAACTTACAAATATTCTTAAGTTTTTACTTACAAAGGCTTTTTACAGTCTTTTGTCTTTCTTCTTGGATTATAAAGTCTAGAAGACTGCCTTGCACCTGGCAGGTGCCAAACAGGTAAGCAAGTCTTTCCATCAAAAACAAATTGCATACACAAGTGTTCACGGTATGGCAGGTGTTAGAGCCGAGTGAGCACTCCTGAAGTAAGGCTTTTTTCTAAGTCAGCACACACTTAGCCAGGCTCATTTTCCAGAGCTTCCTCACAAACTCCACCAACTGGTTACCCCTGTCCTCAGCACTTGGAAGGAATATTAGCAAAGGACAAGCTATGGGTGTAGCAGGCACCGGAGTAAGCAAGTCACAAGCATTGACTATTTAACCCTTACAACAGCTTATAATGCAGGCATATTGGGATCCCTGTTTTCCAGATAAAAGCTACAAAGTGGCAGAAAGCATACCTAGGGAATCCAGCCGCCCCTCATGTCCTTAGCAGCAACTGCAACATACCCGCCTTGAAAACTCTAGGTGAGGTGACCAGCAAGGCTAACGTGTATTTGGGGTTCAAAATGGCGACATCAAGTATGCCGTTCGCCACGCTAGTACTCTGAATGAAAGAAGCGCCTTTAGGTCTCTGCCTCCCTTCTCCTCCCTCTCTCGCGAAGAGGATCTGAGAACATGGGAAGCAGAAACAATGGAGTAGCTAGGGCTACCTCCCCAAGTCTGGAAAAATGGCTAGAGTTCACACCACACTCAGAGGCCAAAGGAGCTGTCCCGGATATCCTGTTTTTCAAGCCAGTTTACTTCCTCTAAAACTGCCAACCTGCACCCACTCCCACCCCCTACAAGCTTGCTGTCTTTTTCACTCCCTTGCCAGTCACGGTGGACTCAGGGATCAACCTTCAGAGGCAGAAGGGGATTTGCTTTGCCTGCCACGCGGAACTAGCCAGAGCCCAAAGATGCTGATAACGAGGGTATAATAAAACTCCTCCTTAGACAGATGGTATTTCTTAACCTTGGGAAAATGGGGACACCGGCCCCATCCTTGGCGTTCCTAAGTTTAGCCACCATCACCTGGGGAATCTGTCCTTCAGAGACCAAAGTTCAGTAAACTCAGTCTCACTAAAGCAGAAACAAGTACGGAGGCAGCCATCATAGAATTTATTTTATTTAACACAGCGGAAACAAACTTAAAGCTGTGCACTCAGAAGGGTGATCAGGCACCTGTGTGTGTCTGTGTTCAGTGAGAGAGTGTACAGAGGAAATTAGTGGCATCCTATGAATTTCTCAACTGATCCCAGGCAAATTACCTCACCACTTTCCGTGACTGTAAACTAAAAATGGTTTCAGGAGATAGTCTGTAGGGGTCTACCGAATTAGAAAATGCTGTGATTTTTCTCCAACACGCAGGACTACAGTAGAGCAGTCATCTTTAACGAAAAGCTGTTAACCTGATCCCCTAAAGACCCTTTTTCATCGTGTTATTTCCTTATAGAGTGACCTCCTAAGGTCCCTTACATAATTTTTTATTTCTCTGTAAGTTTTCAACACACCTATAAAAAGGCCTAACTTAGCTAACTACTTTATTTTATTTTATAGGGTCCAGGCCCGGGACCTTGTATAGAGCCCTGCCCCACCCTATCTTTCTCATTCCCAGCTCTTGTCCATTATTTTGTTCCATTCGGGGGGCTGGTCTCTCGTGCTTCCTGACATATGGTACGATGCCCACCTTTCTTTTTTCTTTTGCCTTTTTTTTTTTTTTTTGCTTTTGTTACTTCCTCAAAAACACCCAGTTCTTCCTCTTGGAGCCTTTGCTTAGTAAGTTCTCAATTCTTTACAGCTTTTTTTGAATTGTCCTTTTCTCAGATGAACTAAATCTCTGCAAGACGCCAGGTACAGTAAGCATGGATGGAAAGCGGTTCGTTTTAGCCTTTGCTAACCACGAACTCCAGGACCGGTGCCAGGCTTCCTTAGGCAGGAACCGCGGTGCACCAGCGGGCTTCTCCTCCCCCAAAGCGTCTAGAACGGATGCGCGTAGATGGCGCCGCCACACCACTAGGACCCGAAGCCTGCGGCCGCGGCAGGTGCAGGCAGCCGGGTACCAGGTGTCAGGCATCCAGGCGACACAGGGCCTCGGGCAGGGTTCGCCAGCCCGGGACCTGCGGCAGGGCCTCATCCTGAGCCGCCTCCTCTCCGCCAGCCTGGCGGTCCCGCCGCCCGGAGGCTCCAGGCGCGGTGGCGCACAGCAAGAGGGACCGACGCGGGGTGGGGGTGCCGCGCGCGAGCCACTCACCAGATCCGAGGACGCACGCACGAGACGACCCGAACGGCTACTGCGACCGGCGGAGGGCTGCGGAGGGTCCGTGGCGGCGCCGCACTTCCGGCCAGGGGGCGGGGCGGAAGGAGCGGCAGCGAGCTGGGCGCGACCAACCGCGGCCGCGGGGGTGTGCGGCTAGCGCGTCGCGGGACCGGGGGGCCCGGGGGCCCGCGGCGGCGACTAGCCTGGCTGCGCGGCCCGACGAACTGAGCCTGGATGGCCACGGGTATGGATTCCCCAACTCACCTGCACTGCATCCCCCTGCCGCAGTCGCCCCGCGACCCGCCAGCCTCCCCGGCTTCCCGTGCCGGTCCCCAGGTCCTTCCGCATTCCTCGGCCGAGGGCGGAGCGCCAGCGTTGGAATTTGACCCGGGTGGGCCGCGATCCGCCCTGGTTTTGGGGTCCCCTGGCGCCCGTAGCGGCCAGTCCGAGGTTGCTTGGTTTAGCAAAGGGCGGTTGGCCTGGTTGAACTGAACTTTAGATAAACAGTTCTGGAGAAGGAATGTAACACGGAAGAGGGCGGAGGCTGAGCACTGCCCCGTGAGCTCCAGAGCCGCCCTTCGCTGATTTGAAATCGCTCTCCAGCAGCAAGTGTCCTTTACTTTCTCCCTAGCTCCAACTTGCAGACTATCAGGGCTCAGCCAATTTTGAATTACTCTTGAAGAAAGGATAGAATTAAGAGTACGCACTGCGCAGAATTTGTCCTAGAGACGATGCATAGTGTATTCTTGAGGATAGTTTTTTTTTTTTTTTTTAACTTCCCTCATTCTGGGATAATCTAGGTGAGGAGCACTATTTTGAAATAATGAAGGATAGCCAATCTAGTAATAGTCTTGATTAAGCCCCCCCCCCCCAAATTTGTGCCAGGCGCTGGGAGAGACAATTAAAAAGGTCTTCCCTCTGGAGTTACATATTCTAGAAGTCTGATCAGAAATTTTTAGAAGGTAGGGATGCCATTGTATGTCCAGCACCGAGCAGTACTTACAACAACAAAAAGGTAGGGGCCAGCGAGATGGTTCAGCAGGTGAAGGTGCCTGCCACCACGTCTGACTACCTGAGTTAAGAGTCTCAAGACCCACAAGGAGAACCAACTCCTGCAAACCATCCAGATGCCGGCAGCAGGGAATGAACAACTCCCTCCCTCAAGTAAGTACACATATAAGATGTTAAATAAATAAATAAATAAATAAATAAATAAATAAATAAATAAACAAACCGAGGGTGGCTTTAACTCTGCACTTGAAAATCTGGCGCTGGTATTGAATAGGTCAGAGATGGATAATAATTTCCGTTTTTAATGGGTAGGAATCAGGTAATGCTGATACTATGTCTAATCCTGAGTATTCTTTCCACTTCAATGCCGTCTGTCCTTAAGTCATTGTTTAAATAATTGTGTTTCTTATAAAAATCTTAAGAATTTGTCACAGTCTATTAACACTTCCTACATGATGTAAGACCAGTTGACAGGCAGGCTGTGGTGGCACAGGCCTTTAATCTTGGCATTCTGGTAGCAGAGAAGCAGGCAGGGGGATCTTGAGCTCAAGGCAAACTTAACACAGCAAGACCCCTTCTCAAAAAAGCAGGGAGTGAGGCTGAAGGGGTGGATCAGACAAAGGCCAGACTTTACCCCTCTATAAAAGACTTCATCGTTAAGAATAGGCCCTTTGAAAGCCTTGGCTTCCCTTCCGGATTTCTTCTCAGGAACCCGCTAGCGAGCAAAATAAGAAAAACTACAATTTGCATATCTGCTGCATTCAAGAACCTTCCTTTTCAAGCTTCTAATTTTTGTAGCAAACTTCGAAGGAAGCCTTCCTGTTTCCGATGAGGAAGCCGGCATTTAAGAACAGCCCGACCACAAATCTACTTGGGTAATGAGTGGGGTTTATTCAACCACACCCAGCTCTAGATCCATGTTGCTTTTAATCATAAAATGCAATTAGGAACAGCATTGATTTATTCTAGAAGTGGAGAAAGAGGTCAACAAAGGTTAAGTAGCTTGCTTACGCCCGCAAATCCCTGGTGTAGCAGAACTGGGACTTGAAACTGCAGGTCTGCCAGAGCCCTAAACGTCAGCATTGTTCACTATACTGTTTCATTGTGGTTTCTGCATTCTGGACTACCTAATGGCTGACGCATGGCAAAGCTCCCTACATTTCTCTGTGACTGGGTAACCACCCTCCTTCCTCCTAAACCAGCTTTCTGTAACTGTTTCTGTCCCTGTCCACTTGTCCTTCCACCTCTTGTCCTTCCTTCCTCTCCTCAGTCTGCCTTTTATTCTGGCCGTCCTCCCTCGGTCCCAGCTGCATGCATTCACTTCCTGCCCTAAGTCTCAGGTCCCCTGGTCAGACGCACTCTATCTGGGCACTGAGTCTCAAAGGCAACACGACCATGAGCAGACGGTGGGGTGCTGCCCCCTTGGAGTGCTTTCCTGGGGCTTTTGAGATCATTCTCATCATGGAAACTCTAGGGACTGGTTCTGTAGTCAAGTCCGTTGCTAGGAGACATTTTGACAGCTTTTCATTGGCAGCCATTCTTGTGTAAGCAAAACCCAGCTACTAGGCAGAGTCCCACTAGCAAACTGTTTCATTTCACTGAGGGCTGACCACCTACTACTGTTCCTAACGGCTGTTTATGGGGTTGTCCGGATGGAGATGGACGCTGCAAGAGATAATTTTAGTAGTACTTTCTTCCTAGAGTGGAAATAACTTATTCCTGGCTGAAGCTGTATTAACGCAGAGATGGTAGGTTGGGGTTTGTATTGTTTTCAGTAGAAATGGAAATTCGCCAAGACTAGCACTGAGTGGATAAGCTGAAAAAGTTATTTTGCTTAAAAAAAACAAAACAAAACGAAATTCAAGTAGGAAATTAGGGCAGATTTCTGAGATTGTAATCTTGAAGGAAGCAAAGAGCAGTTGTTAAGATCCCCTGTCCCCTGCCCCCATTCCACTTGGCGGCTCTGGCTCTCTAACCTGCTGCTCAAAGGCATTCCAAAATTGTTTATCAAATGAGGTAATAGTTTCCTTCAAGGACGGTCTTGTTGAAGCAAACCCACCAACCCCCCTGCTTCAAACTTTTTTAAACTTGGGAATTTTTGAAACATTAGAAAACTAAACAGAACGAGTGTTTTCCCCGATTAGCTCAGCAACAGTTCTGAATTATCACAAATAACCGAAGTTATTTTTAGGATCGAAACGATGACCTCACTTTCCCAGGCATGCAGCCACAGCTGTTGTGACTGTGGGTAGGTCAGGAGTGTCTAAAGCTCACACACGACAACTCTCTGCAGAAACAAACATTCCTTCAATAGGGGTTGCTATAAGGGAAAAACTGTACACAACAAAAAATACCATGTGTATTTCCGACAGCTGGAAATCTTTTTGTTAAAAGCATTCCGTAGAACCTTTAGCGCTGAATAGAGTTTTTTGATACAACAAATGAAAATTAGTATACTTAGTGGCCTGATCTTATTTTAGGGGCAGGAAGTAATGTACAGAAGTTTAAAGTCGGAGGAGATAAAGCAAGAGCGTCGACCTCTAGTATCTCAAGCTGCTCAAGTGCTCACAATTAGGCAGGAACTGTTTTCAAAATGATAGACCAAGTCGAGGAAACCCAAATAGGGCAGTTAAAATCTGATTTCCCTGAGAGGGGAGAAATAAACAGGTTCAGAGGAAACCAGGGCTGCTTTTAAAAAGACAAGGAACACTGGAAGGAGCTAAGCAAGCTCACAGGAATGCTGTTTACTTCATCTGCCTTGCTTTCAAAGACGCAAGTGAAACTAAAATCAAGTGGGAAATAAACTTAAACGACTAAGTATTTTATCAAGAAAGTTTAATTATCATTCAGAAAAAATTGAGTGGATAACTTTCTCTGAAAAAATATATTGACTCTGTGTGGGCTGCAGGTATTACACAGGAGGGACAAGACTGCCTGTAAGTCCCATTACCTTACTTTCTGGTTGGATAACGACACCAAGTCCCATTTCCAGTCTGATTATAAAAGATACAGGTGGCCCAAAGAGGCTGAGATTATATAAATACAAAACCAGACAGCAAAAAGCAGTAAGCTAGGGCATGCACCGGGTTCTAGGAGAAAAACCTCAGAAATACCCCAGTGGCAACAGGGAACATGTAGCTGGGATTCGGAGTTCTTCAGTCGTCTTTGTCTTTTGCTCCTTGCTTGAGGATGCGCGTGAACTCGATGTAGTTGAAATTGCCCTTCTTGTCAATGGGGGCCTCCCTGTAGAGCTCATCCACTTCCTCATCTGTGAAGCGATCGCCCATGGTGGTCAGCAGCTCCCTCAGGTAATCCTCCTGGATGGTGCCTGGAGGAGAAAGAATGGAGGGTCAGAAGACCCACACCCACTGCACAGTCCATGTATTTTCATGGGCCTGCAGCCCTAACAGAGACAACCAGAGGCTCATGGTGTTACTCTGCTGCCTGCCTGTCCCACATCCTTCCTGTTGGCTTGGTGTTCAGCAAGAGGCCATACAAACTGTACAAGCCAATAGCAGCCACCTGCTACCTGACATTTCCATAAAACCCTCCTGCCAAAAAGAATGGAATTACTCACAAAACAGAAGCAGACCCCTGTGTTAGCCCTCCTTTCTTTCTAGTACTGGCAATTTTAAAGGGCTCAAGTAACTTGTATGCACAATGATTAAGAACCCTTAATATACTATAGGTGGAAAAGAAATGAAACAGGCTTAGTCACAAAGCAAAAAAGAACAGACTGACAACTTCCTGGGTGTGAAATTAATACACTAAGAATACATTTCCCACAAAGTGTGATGGACAAACAAGATGAGATTAACAAAGAAACTCCAATCCTACATCTTTAAAGAAGGTCCCTAAAGTCTTAGACGGGTAGCTTTGTAGAAATCAATCACTCACTCCAGCCAACTCACATGAATTAGCTGTGGTTGGGAGTAAGCACACAACTAAAATATGCCCACCAATGCACGTGCCAGGAGAGAGACACACGTGAAGAACTTGGCGCATGGAAAGAGAGGAAAGGCTTATTGTTTTTGAGGAGCCAGGAAAAAGCCTACAAGTCACACTCACATGCTCACGTGTGCCTCTTTTGTGGCTGATGGTCATATGTGAAAATCAGAAGATGGCCATGCTGCGGGGAGCATGCTTCCACCAGCTGGCCCTGCCAACCACGGGCATTTAAGTCTAGCCTACGCAGTAATGTCGGCAACCAGAGGGCGCCTTCCCTCTCTACACACACTGGCTGAGACACAAAGTGGAAATCTTAGAAAATAGGCCCCATATGCCTTCTCCTCTACTTTTGCCAAAGGACCAGGCATTCCAATAGTTAACACTCTTAGTTTTAATGGTCTGTTTTGGGGGATATAGTCTTCCTGAGCGCTGGGTTTACAGGCTCCAGTCCTGCAGCACCGCACCAAGCACTTCCTTCTTCTCAGTCAGCTCCACGCCAGCAGCATGCTTGGCACTAGCTACCCATCTCATCCCCCATTTCATCCTCATAACAGCCCTGCGAGATAAGGTCAGAGTATTGCCCGTTTCACCAAAAATAAAAAACAGAACCTTACCAAAGTAACCTGCCCAAATACACAGCTATCACACAGCAGAAGAGGAACCTGACACCTGCTTACCTGATACCAGAGTCTAAGGTCTTCTTGGAATATTCTAATAGAGAGGTTAGACAGCACATGGGATGGATAATCTGGAGTTGAGAGATGCCTGACAGGCAAACACAAGACTACTGTGCTGTGGTCTCTAGCATCTACCAGGCTGCTCTGGCCAGCTACTCCTTTAACACAGTCCTGACAGCCAGGACCTTGGGCAATTAACCTTTAAGTAAAAGAGTAAGTACGTTTCCCAAAGAAGTTGCAAATTTAACCAACAAACTTCTGAAAAAGACTAATACTTAAGGAGCCCAGAAAAAGTCTACAAGTCACACTCACACACTCATAGAAAGCTGGAGAAAACCTTCAAAAAGTGCTAACTCGCCACACTTTAAATACGGTGTATCTTGTTACATAACTAAAACAGCCTTGTGATTAAGTCGCCCTGACTTACCTGTGGCTTCCTCATCAAAGCAGGCGAAGGCGTTTCTGATGACATCCTCGGGATCTGTGCCATTCAACTTCTCTCCAAACATGGTGAGGAACATGGTGAAATTGATGGGGCCCGGGGCCTCATTCATCATGGCATCCAGATATTCATCAGTTGGATTTTTTCCTAAACAAAAGGAGCCATACTCATAATTACATTACGAAATAACCAACTCTTAATCACCGTAAACATTCTAGCAGGAAATGAAACCACTATATTGTTTGCTGTTTGGGTTCATGATACAAAACAAGGGGAAAGTTCAGAGATCTACAATAAATGTGTGATATTCCAGTGAGATGGCGGAAGGATTAATACTGCTTTTCATCAAGATCTCTCACTTTCTCTTTATAAGGACTTACTTTTAATTATGTATGGGGAGGGTACATGCACAAGGACTCTGCATCACAAGGGTGCAGGTGCCCAGAGAATCCTCCTGCAGCTGGAGTTACAGGTGGTTGTGAGCTACTGAATGTGGGTGCTGGGAACCCAACTCAAGTCCTCTGAAAGAGCTGTATGCACTCACTTTCTCAGACAGCACCCACATACCTGCATGCACACACAGCCCTTCAGCCCAACCCTGAGATAGGCACAGGCGTCTGCGTGTGCCCCAGTGGGAAACACTGCTCCGAAATCAATCACTTAGATGGACGTTAAGGGAATCCTAGCTAATACATCAACACTGTAAGTGAACATTACCCATTGAAGCCAGCATGTCATGCAGGTCCTCCTTGTCGATGAAGCCGTCCCGGTTCTGGTCGATCATGTTGAAGGCCTCTTTGAACTCTTGGATCTGGGACTGGTCAAACATGGCTAACACATTGGATGTTGCGCGCTGAGGGCGCTTCTTGGTGGTCTTGGTCTTTGCCCTTTTGCTCGACATGGTGGTGGTTAAATCCTAATTAAGAAAGAATTGAAGGGAAATAAAATCAGTATCTAAGATTACTAAGTATGGATAACAACAGAGATTAACGAAGATGAGTGGAATCGTCTTTTTATCAGTCAGTGGCAAGTTTCAGTGGGGTAACCCAAGTGCGTCAAGATTTCTAGCCATTCAGGACCATCACCCAACAACCAAACTAAAAGAGAAAAACCAGTCTTCAGTTTTTAATTCATTCACTCTTAAAATTGAAAGATTTTTTTTATAAAAGGACCATCACTTCTAATTCCACCAACATCAAGTCAAAGTTCACAGCACATCAAGATTATATACACACCCCTGGTACTACCATAGAGCCTAACAACAACAGAAAGATAAAATCCAAGGAGGTGCGTGCATGTGTATGTGAGTGTGTGTGTGTGCACGCGCATGCATGCACACAAGAGAGAGTGAGAAAGAGAGAGAGAGAAAAAAACCTTAGATACCCAGGAAACAGTAGCAGTTCTTATACATTAGCACTACGGGTTTGCTAGGAGGTACTAACTAGTGTTCAGAAGCCTAGCCTCCGGTAGCTCACGCCATCAGAAAGAATGACCAATGGAAGAGGTCTTCCCTTCCAACCTCTACTGACAGGTGCTATTCTTCCAGTCAGAGAACATTCCAGATCGCACCCTCATTTCCCGATTCAGGCTAACATAAAGGCATAGAAACTGAAGTTAATTCACCAGGAGTTAAGTCTTACAGACTGTACTTTATACAGACCTGCTCTGCACTCAACACCCGATACAGCTAAGGCTTCTCTTTCGAAATCAGAGTACAAGCTGTAAGCAATTTCGTTTAAAGAACACCTCAAGATCACAGATTCTATCTTCACTCTCTAATACATTTATCCCTGTAAAACTTAAAAGAACATCTAATACATAAAATGAAAATGTTTTTCCTGTGAACACGCAACTTTAAGAACACAATACAAAATGACTGAAGTGGAAAACCCCCGAGTTATCAGATAATAAAATTCCAGCATACCATTCTTCAGGGTGAGGTGGAGATGACAGCCAGCAGAATCCTGATCAGCAAGCCTAAACCACTGCTGAGTTATATTCCTCCAGGCAGGGCTAAAACAGGGACTACTGACTCCACTCTGACCAAGATAACAGTTTTAAAGCTTACGTTCTGAAAACAACATCTAGCCATGATGCAGCAAGCACCATGCCCTTGCGCTAAAAATAAGTCTGTGGACTCCAAAGAATGAACCGCTACCTAGATTCCAGCACCCAAAGTGACCTCTAGAATGTTTCCTATGAGGTAAAAAAACAAAAATAAAAAACAAAAAAGTTAGTTCTTACATTCTTTCCCTGACCACACCACACCATCAGACCACAAACAGCGACAGAAACATCAGAGCAGCTCTGCTCACACGGCTCCCTATGGAAATCTGGTCAGTCACCAATCCAATCCATCTGCACATAGGCAGGACAGCGGGATCACAGCACAGAAATTATATATTCCCACATTTCCTACTCTTATTTCTCCTTTAGGAGACTGTCTTTTACAACCTACTGAAAGCATTTGTAAAATGCATTCACTCTATGGAGGCATACGTCTCTTTTACTACACAGAGTTGCATTCTTTCCCCTGATCTAAATGGCTAAGGACAGGTATGATGGGATGCGTCTCTGAAATGCCCTCACGAACACGGCGAATGGCACGTTTACTAGCCCACAGCTCTCCAGTGTTAAGCATCGTCCACCTTTGCAAGTCAAAAATACCTTCAAAAATAGCCTGTTTGTATGACAACATTGTTTCCCTTCCCCAGTGACACAGGAATGTCAGTTATGCTAAGAACAGAAAAACTGATGAGAATCAGTCAAATGGCGGACAAAGGTGGATTTTTACTCTTTAAAATCTCACGGGAAACTAAATTTGATGGGTGCACTCTTAAAATTCCTTTATAAAAATGCTTAACGTGTTAAAAGTCTCATATAACCTTTAAGACTATATTTCCTATTATTTAAACCACGCATTTAAAAATTAGTAAATGCACTCTTTCCGTCTCCAGCCGCCACAGGGAAAGGAGATACCGCCATGTCTGCGCATGTGCAATGGATAGTGGTTTGGAACTTCTCCAGTTTCCTGATCAAGGGGAATAAGAGAGCGCACAGCAATCCGCAGGCCAGCAACTCCTGCTACAACAGGCTGACTCACAGAAAGACTATGGGAGTGCAGGCCGTGGCTGGGGGCAGAGGGGTCATGGTGGTCATGAATCCCAGATCTGGTCAGCTAAAACCAGACACTTCTTATGTAAGGACCATCAACAAGAATGCATGGCCACCCTCAGCGAATCAGGCACATGATCCAAAAGAACAAACACTCCCTTAATCTGGGCATGGTGGCCATCCCCAGGGCCAGTGTCATCCTGACAAGCCAGAAGCCTGTGGTGGCGAAGAGGAAAGGGACAGCCCCACCAGAGTTCCTGAGCCCCACACCCCAGAAGCAACAGAGTCCACTGACTTTTTCAACCACCAAAACATTAGTAAATGCATTACAAAACAATCAAAAAGATTCTTTTCTGGTGTTTTATTTAGCATTAACAATAGCTTCCTTCACCCAGAACTTTAGCTCATCCCATGCTTAATTCAAATGATTGTATTAGGACCAGCTAATTATATTAATGCATATCAAATGCTATTAGCATTGAACACTAGTCAAAAGTTAAAAAATGTAAAGCACATACGTGACCCATCTTAAAGAAGTTAAAATATAGTTGGAGAGGCAACTATAAGGAAATGCAATTAGTTCAACTTACAAAATGAGCTACATACACTTCAGAGGTATGACTCTCAAGCTAAAGCAATGCATAAAAATAATGAAAGAATGCAGCCGGAATGGTGGTGAATTCCTTTCATCCCAACATAGGGGAGGCAGATACGGGTGGATCGAGGACAGCCAAGGACACAAAGTAAGACCTTGTCTAAAACAAGGGAGGGGAGGCTAAATAACCCAGTGCTTTATCAGTTGGAAATTATAAACTTTGTTTATAATCAAGAGTCAGATGTTCCATCCTAATTCAAGCAGTTAATTCTTTCCAAATCCGATAACTTAATGTTGAGCAAGTTACTCCCTGGGCCTCAACTTTTTCAAGGAGATGAGACTGATTCAATTATCTCCAGAAACTTGGAGCTTCACAGCCGTGGGATGGTCAATAATGCATCTATACAAAACAATAGAAACTGTTTATTTCTAAATAAAGAAAGGTGCTATGATCTCAAAGAGATAATGTTTGACAGAATTGGTAGAATTCTCTTTGCTGTGGTTCTAAGACACTCTTCTACTGTCTCCAAAAGTGAAGATGTAAAACATAATTCTCATGCGAAATTGCAAATATTTTACAATTACTGCGACTATTTTTTATTTAGGGTGCCTGAGAGGAACATGCGAGATCCTCCTCACTTTGGAAGCCTTGGGAAAGATCTTTGAGGTGAAACTTGAAAAGCAGGGAAATTTGCAGACCGGCCTTCTAACGAACACATGAGGGTTTCAAAGCATCAAAAGAGAAGGAAGGCAGTCGAAGGTGGTCGGGACACTCTGGCTTACAGATGGAAAGGCGTATAATGTTTTAAGCTAAGTTAACAGTGCTTCAGCAGTGACTAATATGGGGAGGGTTGTTTTTTGCAGTTCTGGGGACTGATCCTCGGGCCTCACACATGCTAGGTAAGCACTCTACTGCTGAGCTACATTCCCAACCCGAGCGATTTTGTGTGTTAGTTTGCTAAGATGGGAGTCCATGCTTAAGGAAGACATTGGACTACGAAGACAAAAGACAGATCCTCAGAGAGGCTTTCTATACATAACTGATTTTTCAGGATTTTTAGAAATGTAGAATTTATAACTAAAGCTGGGTGTGGTGGTTCACAACTAGGTATAAAATCCTAGCACTTGAAGCAGGACCATCTCAAGTTCTAGGCTAGCCTGGGCCATGGTGACATTTTTCCGTAACAACAACAGAGCTGCCTGTGAAAGCTCTGAAGTGGGACCAATCAGTACTAAATTATACATGAGATTGCCTAAGTTAAAATAGCAGGATCTCACAGCTCCTAAAACTGGTAACACACGTAAAAGAAAAAAATAATCCTTTAACGAATATCTAAAACAAGTATACTTAGGAAAAGTTATATTAAAATACCTTTTAATGAAAAACCCTTAAAACTGGGTGATATATCCCTTGGGAAACTCCCATGCCAGAACCTCTTAGTGTGCTATAAGACCTAGGTATTTGGCCTGCTTCAAACTCCAGATCAAATCTGTCATTTCATCAGTGCCATTTGTTTCCAAGATAAAATTTTTGGGTGTGTGGGAAAATTCAGTTTCTGAAAGTATATTTTCAAGTTGGGTGTTTCAGTACCAAGGAAAGCCGAGTTTTCATTTCTCAGGCACACTTCCAGCTGAGAATCGATTCAAATCTCCCAGACTGCCACACCCAAGAAGTCCGAGCACTTTTTAAAAAGTCAATTAGTTGTCGGGATCGACTTGTCAGCTACGTCTCACTTTTGAAGATAAACTGCTTTTCTATTAATCCTTATCAAGAGCCATTCGGAAAAAGAAAATACCAGCAATTTCAGTAAACTCGCTTTTTTTCACCTTTTGATACAAACTTTTGCATATAAGAAGTTAAAATCTTAAATGATCGATCTCTAAAGTTCTAATATTTTACGTATCTACTGAACGACTCTAACTAAAAACACTCCTCTGTAAAGTCGACTTAGTCCCCTCGAGAGACAAACGTAACCCCAATCTCTCCTCCCTGTTCAAACATCAAAGAAAAAGTTATAATTAGAGGAGCGTCCCCTGAGCTGCTAAATTTGAATGGGTTCTTCCTACTAAACACGTAGCCGTACAGCTGCAACAACAGCTGCAGAGGGCGGCTCTGCTACGGTTTTTTTTTTTTTTTAATCTGCAAACTCTCTGGCAAGTTTACGTTAGCAACCAAACATAGTTTCGGAGTCAGCTCTGTGGGGCTCCGGTTTCGCGGGCCGGCAGTCGCCCAGGCGTGCGGCGCCAGCGAGCTGAGCATCATCTCCTAAGCTCCAAGTTTGGCAAACAGAGCAAGCCTGCGTCCCGGCCGCCCCAGCCCGCGGCTTCCCAGCCCACAGCCGCCCGCGATCACGCAGGCACACCTGTCCAGGTGTGCTCCCCGCTTCCCCCCTCGCTTCCCGCCGCCCCGCGGGGACGCCTTCTCGGGACGGGCCACGCACGCCCCGAGGCCAGCCCCACTCACCCTGCCCAGCCGCGAGAATCGGGGGTGTCTCGGCGATGCTCTGCCTGCCGCTCTCACCGACTTTAACAACTAACTATCCAGCTGCCCCAGAACGGCCACTTCCGGCCTCCTCCAGCAAACCGGAAGGAAGCCTAGCCACCATTCCCACCGCCTCCGTGGGCCGGCACCGACGGGAGGGGACCCCAGGGAAGATGCCCGAGCGGCTGGCGGGCGCGCACGGCGCCCATGGGCAGCACAGAGCGCGGAACTTAGAACTGAGAGGGTTGTGTAGAGAGGATCTCTCGTTCCAATTAGTGACTCTTCGTCTTTCTCGCGTCTCTTCTGGAATTGCGATCGTCTCCCCCCCCTTCCTCCCGCAGATGGTTGCGTCCGTCCCGCCGCTTTCCGTCGCCCGCCGGCATTCCAGAGCATGGCGAGGGGCGGGGCCCCGGCTCCAGTCCTTGTAGGGGAATCGCGGAGGGACGCGGGGCCGCACGTGACTGGACCGGCTCCGCCCCCGAGCCCGCCGGCGTGGTCCCGGCTGGAATGCGCCTGTGCAGGAAGTGCGCGTGAATCAGCGTCTCTGTCAGCACCTCGGGGTCCGCTCGGCGCCGAGAGGGCGTGTGCGAGCCTTTTGGAAAGTTGCGAAGTGGCCTTTTATGGAGTACTTCACACTCCACGTGGGAGGGAACACTGAGCTTTCAGGGCCCCGTTGTCTCTTTGGTCCAGATTCCTTCCTCGCCCAAAAAAAGTTCCCTGGAACTTCCTGCAAGAGTCCCCTTTAGCCCTGATGGTGACTCCTGCTCCACCAATCGCTCGAGGGTGACTTGGTGAAATAGGACTAAGTGCAGGACCCATTTACCCCTCAGGTCTCCTTTACGTGAGTCGGCTGCCAGCGATGGTTCTGGTGAAAGGGAAAACCTCCTGGACCGCTTCGCCCCTGTCAGGAATCCTGCAGAGGCTGTACCAGCTCGGACCCAGAAGCAGATTGCGACCCCCCGGCGAGACCAGAGCAGTTGTAGAGTTCCTTCTTCATCTCCAGAGCTCTGTCGCTTGACCCGGGAAAACGAAGGCGCTGTTCTAAATGATACGTGTTAAATAGTCCTAAGACCAGCTCTTTTCTTCATGGAACATACGTGATATGGTTTAAAGTTGACTCAGGTAAAGCCACTGAAGAAAATAAAAGTCCTAATCCTGTAGGTGACAGAAACAAAATTTCCCTCCCTTCTTTGATAATATGAATCATTTGGAGTGCTAACTAAAAATTCAAATAATTGGGTAATTCATCCCCAGCTCCCTGAATCAAGACGGGCAAGAGCAGGTTCTGGGGAGTCAAGGACTTAAGGGGTCTAGCATGACTCTTTGGGAAAGTGGGCACACAGCTGGGGTGGCAAGCCATGACAGTACAAAGTCGAGGGCCGAGGCGTCAAACCATGGTAGGTTCTTGTGAGGCAGCAGCTCCGCTACCCTCCATCCTGTACTGGCCTGTCACACTGGGAAGCTCGGGCTTTCAGGCCTGGCTATCACGCGGCGGAAAATCAAAACCCCTGTAGATGATAACAAGGAAGTGGGCAGTTCAGTTTCCCCTTCACCTGGAAAACAGTGCGTTGTTGGCTTCTGTAGAAATTCCCGCCGAGTCCCCGTCAAATCAGCCAATACGTACTAAACTGGTAAACTCTGCCCCGGGCTGCGGTTTGTCCATTTTAAAAGGAACAGTTGCCATCTCTGGGATTGGGTTATGGGATGGAACAGAAATGGGGGAGAATTACGAGGAACAAACATGCAAAAGGTTACAGAAGGACAAATACATCTACCTGAGGAGTGCTGGAAGACGTCCCCAGAGGGCAGTTGGACTGATTCCAGGGGTTAGTGGAGGAAAGGAGAGAGGCATGTTCAGTTGTCTGAAGGGGCAAAGAACCTGGCTGTTCGGAAGTTGGTTTCTGCTGACCCTTTATTCATTTCCAGAGAACTTTGGATATACAAAGTCAATGTGGAAAAATTAAGTCTTACTCCTTTACCTAACGTTCTGATATGACATGTTAATGGTAGACCCACTACTGAAGGCCTCTCTCTTAGGCTGTTCGATGTCCCTGTTCTTTTGGAACCTGGAGGAGATCTTCCTCAAACAGCAGGCGAGAACCTTCTCACTGCAAGTTTGACAGTCTGGGTTCTGTGCAACTCTGAGAGCAAGTCCCTCGATTGACCTCAGTTTTCTATATTTCTCCAGCATGCCTTACAAGGCTTCCCGATTAAATGTGATCATTTATAGTTTTATTTTTCTTAAAGATTTTATTTTGTGCATGTGGATGTTTTGTCTGCATTTACATTTGCACACCAGAAGAGGGCATCAGATCCCACAGGACTACAGTTATAACCGGTTATGAGCTGACACGTGGGTGGTGGGAATTGAACTCTGTATCTCTGGAAGAGTAGCCAGACCTCTTAGCTGCTGAGCTATCTCCCCGGACCCTTATTTATAACTTTAAAAGATTTTCTATGTACAGAAGAGTGGCTTTTAAATAAGTGTGTGTGTGCATGCATGTGTGTGTGTACGTCAGATTGAATGTCAGCTGTCTTCCTGTACCGCTGCTTTTCACTGAACCAGAAGCTCACTGTTTCAGCTAGGCTGGCCAGCCAGTGAGCCCTGGGAATCCTCCTGTGTCTGCCCCTCAGTGTTGGAGTTACAGGCATACGCAGCAAGTGCTTTTACCCATTGAGCCATCTCCTCAGCTTCTGGTGACTTTCATATTTTTAAGTGAAACTTGGAGTAGGAAATTTATCTCAGGACTGGCAAGATGGCCCTGCCTGCCACCAAGTCTGGTGACCTAAACTCAATCCTAGGGGCCTACGTGGCAGAAGGAGAGAACCAGTTTTTATAAGCTGTCCACTGACACACCCACAAAATAAACAATGAAAGTTAAAAAGAAATGTGTATAACTAAACAATACATACTGTGATGTTTTGCAAGACTTCCTATTCTATTAAAAATTGATATTCACATGGCTGCCATATATATATAAAATCACAGGCTAGGTATCTTAAATAACAAGAATTTGTTTTCCACTTTGTCGAGGCTGAGAAGTCCAAAATCAACGAACTGGCTGGTTCGCTTCTTGCTGGAGACCCTCTTTATGGCTCAGACACAGCCTCCTTCTCGCCCTGTCCTACATGGCAGGGAGAGGTTTTCCCTCCTTTTGCTATGATTAGGGCCTCAGCCTATGGTCTCTCCAAATTTTATTATCTCCTATGGTTCCTCTCTCGAAATAGCACTCATGTTCCACTAATGCTGTGGTTCTTAATAGCCAGGGGTGAGGAGTGTAGATTTTGGTTCTGGTACACAGCAGTGGTTTTCAACCTTCCTAATACTAAATAAAATACTAAATTATTTTAATTGGGACTTCATAACTGAATTTTGCTGCTGTTATAAATCATAATGTAGGCCGGGCGATGGTGGCGCACGCCTTTAATCCTAGCACTCGGGAGGCAGAGGCAGGCGGATCTCTGTGAGTTCGAGACCAGCCTAGTCTACAGAGCTAGGACAGGCTCCAAAGCCACAGAGAAACCCTGTCTCGAAAAACCAAAAAAATAAATAAATAAAAATAAATCATAATGTAAATATCTGTGTTTTCTAATGGCCTTAGGTGACCCCTGTGAAAGGGTCAGTCCAACCTCAGAGAGGTCGTGATCCACAGGGGTTGAGAACCTATGCTCTAAAGGAACACTTGGCAATGTCAGGGGACGTTTTGGATCATCATAACCAAAGGGCTGCTGCTGGGATGTAGAGAGTAGAAGTCAGAGATGCCAGCTAAAGGGCTAAGGTTGAGGAAACTACACTAGTGACTTGGGGCCCAGTATTATAATGATTGTTTGGGAGTACTGTGAGTACCGAAATGACACTATTTAATTTCTTCTTCCCCAGAGTAACATGTTTATTTTCCCCAGGTCAGGGCTAATGAGAAAGAATGAGCTAATAACACGTTACAGTGTGCCTAGTACATGCTAGGTATTTCCGTAATATTTAATCCCTCCCACAGCCCAATGGGCCTGCATAGACATTTGCTTTTCTCACATAAACTGAGATCCAATAGACTTAAGTTATTTGCAAGGTTGTTCAAATAGTCATTCGAAAGCCAGAAGTATAACTTATGTCTTTGGTTTTCCAGAAGTAGGAGAGAAAGAAGCACAGGGAGAATCTATGCTTCTCATATAGTGTCTAGTTATGAATGCCAGCAAATCTGCTATTTGGATACTAATTTGGGTGCAAATAGCTAGTTGGTAGCACAATTGAAAGAAAACAATGTTTTCTAATTCTTTTTTTTTTTAATTTTAAGCGTGTGTGTGTGTGTGTGTGTGTGTGTGTGTGTGTTTGTAAATCAAAGGACAACTTGTGGGACTTCGGTCTCTCCTGTTACCTCGTGGGTTCCAGGGATGAAATGTCAATCAGAAGACATGGCGGCAAGCACTTTTGCTCACTTAGCTACCTAACTGGCTCAATCACTTTTGATTTTTGTTGCATGTAAGAAACTATTGAATGTCGAGAAATATGGGCTTGTATTCTTCTTTGTGTTTTGAGATACGGTCTCATGTAGTCCCAGGCTGGATTTAAACTCCTCATCCTCCTGCCTCTACCTCCCAAGTGCTGGGATTATAGCATGTGCCGTTTGCCTGTTTCTGTGCCGCTCTGGGAATCGAACATGCATACTAGGCAAGCGCCAGACCAGCTGAGCTAGGCTCCAGCCATCACTCTGCCTTTAGCAATATGACGTCTAATCCCTCGTAGGTGAGACATGCGTGGTGTAACAACGAGCATTAGTCTTGGGAAACAGCAGGAGGAGGTCTTGTCTTTCAAATGAAGAGGGTGTTTAAATAAGTCTGTCTGATAATTAAATCTACGGCACAGGCACAAGAGCTACAAATAGAATACGAACAGTATGTTAAAAGTGTGTAGAAAAGTCAACATGAATGAAGAATTTCTAGTTTCTAAATTTTAGTCAATATTATTTTTTTCTTAAAAATGTTTTATGTTGCCGGGTGGTGGTGGCACACGCCTTTAATCCCAGCACTCGGGAGGCAGAGACAGGCGGATCTCTGTGAGTTCGAGGCCAGCCTGGTCTACAAGAGCTAGTTTCAGGACAGGCTCCATAGCTACAGAGAAACCCTGTCTCGAAAAAC